TGCAACTTTGTCATATTGGTAGGGAGACCTAGAGGAAAGCAACTATTCCAGACTCCATAGTATGCATGATAATAACAAGAGTCGGACCATAAACGTGGTACATTCCCAGACGTTTCGCTGGTATCTTCAGTGCGCCTTTCCTCACTTAGCAACACATTAATATCCATCAGAGACAAGTGAAATCGATCTAATAAACGTTTGTGGTATCTCCCCTTATGCCCTGTGCTAATTACAAATCCTATATATTTATATAACACCTTCACTATCATAATTTCTGTATTAATTTTTTAAGGGTAATATGGTGTGCCCTCTTGAACGGATTTTATGAGAACTCTCCAAACCCCACTCTGGCTTCATTACTGCCTCACCCGCGCAATCCTCTTCCCATAGGTCTTATCAGAGCCTCCCTCCTGCCCCGTAGGATCCGCCTCCTACTTTCCTGGTTCATGTATTTCATTCGACCCATGCCACCTTTTCTGTACTACTCGAAGCGTTATTTTTCACACTGTCTCAAGCCCTTGATGTCACGCATACTCCAACTTCGCTCATTAGGTCCCTAAAAATCAGCATTTTCAAGCTTGATGGGAGACTAACTTGAGGCTAAAGAGCCCGAGTAATTGTTATGCTCAAGCTTTTGCTTCATGGACCACGTCTATGAGCAAGAACGTCTACGGCTAGCCAACTAACTCTAGTATCCGCCGCATCTATCGTGCTTATATCCATAGTGCCGAGTCTCTTGTGTGCCAACCTACAAATGTGGGGTTCTACATTGAACCTAGTCAAAACACGATGTCAAGCTCACATGCTGCACTATCACGGTTCGACTCCCGCTGGGGTGTTGATAAGACCGATGCGAGGTCGAAACTCAAGTCCAATCTGGATGAGAACAACTTTTGGAAGAGCAAGGCTATGTGAAATTCATTTAGCCTCACCTTATAAAATTTACTCCGTAGTTTCGACTCCAGCGGTAATCGAACCTGGATAGTGTAGCCGTCCACCTTGGATCAGAATTTAGTAGAAACGTGATGTTTACTCAAATACCTTTGGGAAAATTCCACTATCAGTCCCTATGGGGATTGTAACTCTTATTCCAGATTAGATCGATCTGAAATGAAGAGAGCGACTGATCAGATAAGAGAGGGAGGAATGAGTTGTACTTAAACCAGTAGTAAACAGATGAATAAGAGGATTTCCAAACTAGCTGTTTCAGATAACACCATATGCATGGGCCCCAGAGATTATGAGGTACTGGGATGGAGTTGGGAGAAGGAACATCGAGTTTCTGAAGTCAAAGGGAGTTGAAGAGGGAGGCAGGTGTGATAGTCACGATTTTAAGACATTTTTGTATATGTGAATAGATCCTCGAAAATAATATATCTCAGTTTCCGGGATTAAGAGAAGTAGGGAGCAGCTAATAGAAGTTGGGTGGACGGGATCAACGAATGGAGGCGCTGAGTTGGATCCTGAAGCCGAGAAGACGGAATCTGAAACGGGTGATAAAGTTGATTACGCTACAGTACATTTTCATATAGAGACGTTAGTACAAACGAGGTCACGGAGACGTGAAAAAAGGCAAATTGGTCATATGCAGTGAGGATAACGAACTAGAGAATGCTACAACGTATAGAAAATGCGTCAAAAGGATTCCCTACATGTGTCCCTTGGAGCGTCGACTTTCGATGCTGAGGATGATGTGTCTCAGTAACGATGCAACAATATATATTCAATATTTACATACTCAGCCCGTTTTCACCCGAAGCGAGGGAGGATTTCTCTTGGACTGTGTCAACATCGTCGTATTAAAGCCAAACGGCTTCAGTACAACGGGATTCAGCCGTCTTCTTCTGGTCAGATCGAGTTTCGAATATATTCTTCATTCATTTTCATAAGAAAAGAAGGTCTCTCCAACAATGTTATCTCAGGAGATTCATCAAAACCCGGTAACTTTCCGAGTCAACGATGTACGTATGTTTGAACTTCTTGACAGTTATCTTCTTGCCACACCATAAGCAGGAAACCTATAGCCCGGCAAGTTAAGAGAATTAGATATATACAAATTTATATTTTTGACAATATTGTTGCTAGCTATTATTTACTTGGTAGGCGGCTTAATCCACCGAAGTCCACTAATAGGAAACTTGCTCGGGTATCGTGTGGTTTGGTTAAAATAAGGCTAAAAGGAGTCACAGACTACACGAACTAATTAGAACCATAACCAGGCTTGAATAATCCCTTTCTTGGGTAATAAATAAAGTAGATTTCCTTAAAAGAAGTGGCTTGATCCAGTTGTCTGAATTTGGTCTTATTGTCAAGGCGACTTGTTCAAAGTCGTTTTCCATAGTAGTTTTCATAATTTCCAGGATCAGACAGTGGACTTTGTACATTCTCAGACGTTTCGCCAGTATCATCAGTGAGTACTGCCATTCTCTACACCAAGCTACGAACTCGTCAAAGAGACAAGTGAAGTGAATCCTTCCACTAACGTTCTGAAGAAAACGTTTAAACTATCAATCCGCTTTGTGTCCTGGCCCATCTATTTACCACTCTTTTATTCAACTTACGCCCTATCACAACTTCTAACTTTCTACATTACACTCGTCAAAATGTGTGCCCTTTTGTGGCAAATCTAGTATGGCCTTAACACACCTCTTCACCCGACCCTTTCTCTCTCGATCGGATAATCCGACTCGGACATCCTATCCGAATCCCCTCATTGTATCGTAGCTCCGTTCTGATCTTTCTGGTTCCAATCCCAGTGTGCATTTCACTCCAGGCGTTATTTCTCAAGGCACGTACACTGCCGCCTCACCGAGCAGAGAGCCTAGGCTGTGATTCCCATGCTTGCAGATATTGACTCCTTGATTAAACTCATGTTAATTGTGCAAACTGTGGACGCCTATCTTTGGTGGTATGCGGCACCTCAAGTGGATTTCTAGTACATTTTAGCAATAGCGCAGAATTTCTGTGACTGACTTATCCGTCTGCCCAGACTCCCTAACCGCCAGGCCCCCAAAGTTGTACTGGTGTCTTCGAAACAGAAATCACCCACTGATAATGCCTTCGCTTGATTACCAAAATCCTTCTTTCTCCACTTTCCTCATCGCGATCCCTTTTTCTCCGGTTAGCGATAGATCCTTGTTCCAAGCATCTCCTTTTTGTTTTATTATTTTTTTCCTCGAGTTTGCCGAGTTACCGCTAATTCCACCTTCCCCTAATCTCCTGTTCATTAGATTTTTCTCCCCAAGGATGTCACTGGCCTCCCATATCTTCCGTTTCCTTGTGTTTTCAAAGTATAGGGCCCTTCTTTCTCTTACCTTACAAATGATCTCGTGTCCAGTCTGTGCAATGTGTTCCGCTAATTCTGATCATTCAGTATCCATTTTCCTGCAGAGCCTTTGATGCGCACTGATTCGTAAGCTATGTTTTCCCTCTATTTGGTCAATATATTTATGTTCCCAGGCGCAACATGATATACAGTAAACTCCTGAACAATCCAATTTGTCGACCCTTCCATGTTGTGTCCGTAGACTTGTGAAGTTTTGATTTTTCTCTCATGGCTACCCAAATATTCCATTTCCTTAGTATTGGCCGTAGTTTTGAGTTATTTGGCAGGATGGTAGGAATACCCACTTTTGTGAATCCTTCATCATCTTTACTGTTCTTTCAGTCCCCCTTCTGCCATCGGCTTATTACGGCCCACATGTTTCTTTGTATTACTTCGCTTGGGTAGCCATTGCTGATAAATATCCTAGTCAATTTGTCCAACTCCTCGTCCCAGAACTCTACATCCATTAAGTTCTGTAACGTTAAGGGACCCTACCATTCGGATAGGGTTAATGACTAACTTACCAAGGCTTCTATTCAGAAATCAATTGAGACTTATGTTACAAAGAGTAATCAGCTCTTTAAGTTTATAGATATTAAGTCAAAGTTTCGGCGTGATCTGGCCAGGATCCTGTCTCCGGAAGACTTTCAATAATCCAGAGCCTGACCGACAGGAAATCAAGTAGGATTTCTGACTTAATAACAAAAAGACATGACGATAAACTGCGTAAGTTTGAGATTATAAGACAGCCTAAGTTAAAATCAGTACGCTCAGTTGAAATGGTTTCCGAGCTAACAACACCTACTGATCAGCATTGCCATCGGAATAAGGTATTAAACTTATCATCAATTCCTTTAAATCCCGAAATAACCACAATCCTGGAAAGGGAACTCAACGTTTCACTTCAAAATGACAAGCCATCTAGAAGACATCCTGGTGGTTGTCAATATCTCTGAAAAGTTCCTTGAGGAGAGAAAACGGGAAATGGAGATAAAACTAATTCCAAATATCTTGACACCTCAAAAATCCACACACAATAAGAGATTTACCAGGATACGCAAGACTATGAAAAAAAAATTGAAAAATTAGTCATTCAGGCAGATGAAGGAGGATCTATAGTGATAGTAAACAAAAAACAATATATTCTACGAGACAGGACTACATATCGTAAACTAAAGAAGGACCAAAATATGAAGATTAATGGAATCTTAAGTGACATGCTGAAAGATATGCATGGGAATGGGGAAATTTACGCATGTACAAGAAATTTATAAGAAAGGATGCACGACTACCGACAGTCTACGGTTTACCGAAGATACACAAAGGCGAGCCACTAAGGCTGATAGTCAATAACAAGTATGTGGCAACACACAAGTTGGCAAAACCTACAGGCAATATTGAGGAAATTGAATATTCAGGTGGCCATGAAAGAGAGATCAACACTTTTCACAAGTCTACCAACGCAACAGCAAAGGGTAGACAAATTATACTGTTCAGAAGTTTATTAAATATCATGCGGCGCGTACGAAAAGAAATATATCGGCGGGGTAGGAAGAAAAATTAGCATACGAATCAAGGGACATCAGAGGCTCTGCAGGAAAATGGATACCGAAAGATCAGAACTAGCGGAACACATCGCACATACTGGGCACGAGATCAATTGGAAGGCAATAGAAAGAAGAGCCCCATACGGTGACAACAAAAGGAAGCGGAAGATTAGAGAGGCCATTGACATCCTTGGGGAGACAAATCTAATGAACAGGAGATTGGAGGAAGGTAGAGTTAGCGGTTACTATGCCTACTGCTTAAGCAAGCTCGAGGAAAAAATAATAAAGCAAGACCAGCAAAAAGTATACGCTTGAAACAAGGATCCATCACTAACCGAAGGAAAAGGGATCGCGATGAGGAAATTGGGGGAGGGGGATTTCGGTAATCAAGCGAAGGCCTCCCAGTACAACTTTGGGGGCCTGGCAGTCAGGGAATCTGGGCAAACAGATAAGCTAACCGTCACGGAAATTCGGCGTTATGGCCAAAATGTACTATAAATCCACATAAGATTCCGCATGCCATCAGAGATAGGCGTCCAAAGTTTGCTCCGATAACATGGGTTTAATCAAGGAGACGATATCTGCAAGCATGGCAATCAGAGCTTAGGCGCTCTGCTCAGTGAGGCGGCAGTGTGTGTACGGGTCAAATCTTTTGTCTATGCAAATAAACTAGCTGGGTCTTGATAAAGCCTCATGGATGCGTGTACAACAATGACGAGTTGGTTAGCAATTTTAGTTTCAAAAACAGTCCAAATTAGTCAGGTCTTCTCTTAAACACTGGCTCTTTCCATTCCATTTGCTTCTCTCTAATTCTATTCAACAGCCGGAGATAGTTAGTACTTTTATTCGACTTAACAAGTTGATTTGTTTGGTTAATTTCACTCGACCCTTTGGCCTTCCACTTAGATGTGAAGCCCCCATATCCGGTAAAACTTTGGGTTTAAAACCACTCTCTCTGGTGAACTGTAACAACCACACGATCATCCATTTTCGATTTACCAATCCATAGACCTCTGTAGGCGGTTCTGATAACCTCTTATGTATTGATCAACAAGTCTTGTACACAAACACACCAAATGAGCACAAATCCTTATACCAACCTAATCTGCAGAGCTCGTCGGAAGATTCTCTAAAAGAAGGCATGATCAAGGAAAGCGTTATTGTTTCATTATACATTGTCTTTACCCTATTTCCTCGTTAATTCGCCTTCCTTCTTAAAGGCTTACAGGATGGTATCAAAAGGCACCTGGACGAAGAGTTGTCTAATTCCTCGTTTTGTTCCAAATAATAGTTTCCTTAAACTTTATTTCTTATTAATTTGAATTTTTTAACAATTAATCTCAATGGACAATTATTCTAAACTGAGATTTTTCTAGGCCTTTCTAACTCCTGGTCCTATTGAGTTACGTCCGGCAGTCGTAAGTTACTTATTATCGTTGAGTTCATAACTCCTCCCTTAATATTATAAATATGATTCGAGAAGAAATTAAGGAAACCCACATTTGTGTGTTTCCTAACTAGGGTGACTCTTGAAAAAGCCGGACTTGCAATTGAGCTACGTAGTTATTAGCTAAAACTGGAGACAAATACGATCCCATAGCTAAACCTCCGTTTTACTCGTACAATTTACCATTAAAGACAAAATATGTACTATTTATTATTAAATTCGCCAATTTTATGAGTGACCCCTTGCTTATCTTATTTCCTAATATAATCTCTGAGTGTAGATATAAGGTTAATACTAATGCCTTTATGGCCCCACTTACAGTTATATTCGTGCACATCGGTACCACATTCTTCTTGTTATATTATTTGATAATCTATTAACTTTATAAAGTCATAATAGTTTTTTATTTAAAATTTCTAAAAACCTGAGATTTGCTTTAATTAACTACAAAGGAATCGTGATTTTATATGTATGATACCATAGAATTTAAAGGTTGGTATCACTTCAACTTAGCGTTTACATTATATAAGCAATAATTCCTTAAAAGCCTACATTTATCAATTAAACATGTTTTATATATTTAAATGCATGCGATAATGTTTAGTTAATGAAGTGGATTAAGCTTCCCACGCATAGGTGTAAATATAAGGACAGAATTAAATAGCATAGATAGAATTTGTTAAAAATGTTTGAAAGAAAAATAGGATTATTGGGATCATGAACGCATGTGGTTTTGACAATTTATTAAACTGTTATTAATAGCTATAAACGGTGGCTCTATTAGCTTAAAATGTGTAGATAATGCCCGAGAACTTACCCAGTAAGCTTTGTGATACTGATGATACGACAACAATAACAGAGGAGTGGATAAACATACATCCTTAAAACACGACAAATAAGGGAAATCTAGGCCGAACCAAGTCTAGACAAATACAAATTTCTGTAGCAAAACTATCTTGATCAAAATATCTACAACGTAATTGTGGAAAAAGGATTGTCAACAGACTACACCCAATACAAAATAAGTATCAATACAATTACATTTAGAGACAAGTTTTCGAGACGCCCTTATAGTACTAAAAATAGTAGTGGTATGAATCGGAATAGCAATTCGATAAATGTTTAATTACAATGCTAGGAAGCGATGATGCTTCAGAGTCCTCTGCTTTTGCCTTTAATTCAATACTATACCAACTCTGAGTAAACGCGATGAAGTCTACTGTCAGGTAACCGACTATATTAATTAGATAAAATTAAAAATACTAATGAAGGAGAATTCATACGCATACAGTGGCACAAAAAATACATAAAAAAGAATTGTTGCAATATTCAAGACTGATCCAGTATTTATTCATGGTAAATAGAACAGTATGGAAAGAATTCAACCTAAAAATAGACCCACCTAAATGAGCCTCCAGCCTTGTGATATTCGATAATTCACCAAAAGAATGATAGTACTATAAACAATACGAAGCTGTCACAAATTAATGAGACGAATGAGAAATCTAGATAACAACAATAAACCCGTAGTAATCTATCCCTACTCTCTATCATTTCCACTGCTAGAATAGTTACTTTACACTCAGTCATCTCATAGCACTCATTCCAGTGCATTAACCTCTTGTATATACGACTCTGGGCCAACATGATCAGATTTTGCTGTAATATCGAGTCTACACTTCAGACGAATCATAAGCGATTTTAAACAAAAAAACAACGGGCTAGCCACCACCCTTTTCTCACTCTGATATTGTTTTCCTAGATTTATCATGTGAGTACGAGTAACACTAATCAAGAAACTAACAGTTAAAATAGCCAATTCAAAAGAATTGCAAAAAGCAAGGAGGTGCAGGTAATAGTGAATCACCAGCGGTGCTCGAAAGTTCAGAGCCGAAGCCGACACGGCCAATGAGAAACTTGAATATTTGCTGAGGACGTACAAGTGGTAGTATACCTCTGCTATGAAAGTGAGTAATATTACTAACACACAAAATAATCTGGTGAAGCTAATGATATAATAGGAGATTGTAGCCAAAGGTTATTCCAAAACAAATATAAAGTTGATCACAGAAACGACCCAGCCATGGAGGGCAGGATCGCAGATAATTCTTCTATGTACGTAGGTAAAATAGTACATAAGTGACACTGGAACGGTCAAGAAAGAGGAGATAAATAACCAACGAACTCAAATACAACTTAACTGGTTGTCATTTGGTATAAGATATGATAAAGCTCGCCATACATTTTGAGTATGAGAAGGCCAAGGTAATAAAAGAGTAATTCAAAACCCGTCACACGATGGAGGCTAAACAGGCAAATAAGCCTGACAGAATCGAAATGTATATTGAGATCAAGCAAAAAAGAGTGCTGATTAATAAGGATCTCGAGGAAACTGAAGGCATAAAAATGTATAATGAAGTCGTTTTTGGAGGGGAATCAAGAACCATTAGGTGGCCTTTTCCGCATAGTGCTCTTTAAGTAAAAACAAATTGTTTAGGCTGATCGATATTGGAAAGCCAAGGTATCCGCATGAGAAGACTAGGAGGCATGTATGAGAATATGTGAGTATGAAAGAATTTGTGCATGAAGGCATATTTGATTAGCTGAGCAATGGGAGGCGTCGAACAGCTTGATAAAGATGGCCACAGGCGAACCGACTGAAAGAGAAAGCTCCTCGGGCGGCCAGGAAGGCAGTATATGATGCAACCGTCAAAGTGGTAAGTTTAATACCCCAACTGATGATTATCCAGCTTCGTGACGGTTTGGGTACGCTAAAGAGGATTTGGAAGATAAGAAGAATAGCAGAGAAATTTGAGACGATATGGTAAATTGATGACTCGTTCAGTTAAACAGAGGTTTAATACTGAGTTAGGATAAAATACCACAATCAGAGTCAATGTGCAATTCTTTCAGAGAAGACCTAGTTATTAGTTTAAACCAGTGATTCCTAAACTGTGCGCCGTGGCGCCTCGGGGAGCCGCGGCCTTTTAACAGGGGGGCCGCAAAATATTGTAAAAGCTTCAATTTGATAAAATATGCATTGATTTGCAAGTTCCTCCATCACATTAATTATTAAATAGTAATTTAATGATAATAAAGTAAAAAATAATGAATATACAGGAGTTTTATTTATTTTTATCTCTTACGAATAGTCATACTTAGGGTAGGGCGTCATGGAAAAATTTTAATTGAAAAGGGCGCCGCGACTAGGAAACGTTTGGGAACCACTGGTTAAAACAATTTGGAAATTGGATTGACATTTAATAAATCATCGTTTTAGTGCTTTGAAATAGAAAAGAGAGGTGATCAATTATAGAGTATTTAACTTTTCCATGCCTGTAGGATAATTTATCTGCAAAAATAGACCTGATAATCTCCAGTGCCATACCGTGGACCTGGTATATTACCAGAGGTTTCGCCGAAACCGTCGATGGGCCTTGCCAGTCTTAACATCAAGTTAGTCAAAGAGATAAAGTAACTCCTCATCATATCGTGATTGTGTCAAAAAGGTTGATCCTATTAAGTCCTTTCAGTCTATAATCTACTTCGTCCAGATCCTGTCACTCTAGTGCCCTGGAAAATCCCTCTCTTGACGCCCCAGTTAAGTGACTTCACGTGTTTGCTGCCACCATTACTCAAGATATTATTTCCAAGTATTTGCTTCGACTATCCTACAGCACCTCATTTAGCAGGTCCTTAGAGTCTGAATTCTCAAGTCAGATCAAAGGCTAACCTAACACGATAGTTTCCTTTATTTCAGTGATCACCAGGATATTACTTTTTATTAATATTAGTCGAAGTTTTTGACTCAGTTCATTAAAGGCCAAGTAAATCTGATTTAGTAAGTTCAATTTTTTTTCTTGGTTAT